AGTGCTGTAGTCCTTTAAACGAAAAATTCCATCCGTCATTTCTTCGTTTTGAGCATGATATGCGAGAACAGTTCGAATTTGTTCACTTTCTGCATTAGTCTTGGCTTTGACGGTTCGTTTTTCAGGTGCTTCAACTAGAGATGGTAGTAGGTTGGGCCAGTGCCTTTCATCCTTGGTCAGCCAATCTGGTCCATTCCACCAGAGTGAGGAAGATATTAATGTGTCAGCTAATACACCACGAGAGGCTAAATCAGCTGGATTTACTGCTGTTGGCACGTGTTTCCAATCACTTCTGGGTAGGGTCTCTTGTATTTGTGAAACTCTGTTTGCAACAAAAGTGTTCCGCGTTCTTGGAAGTTGAGCAAGCCATTGCAAGACAATTGTTGAATCAGTCCACGCGTGTGAAGTTATCTTGAGATTTGTTTTCCTCAAAATTGAATGAACTGATTTAAGAAGTTTGGTAGGTAAACTTGCACCGCAGAGCTCTAATTTGGGAACAGAGATTGCTTTGACCGGAGCAACCTTTGTTTTGGAGGTCAGTAGATACGCAAAAGTTTTGCCATCATCATTGGTAATTCTTGCATAGATTGCGGCTGCATATGCTTTTTCGGAAGCATCACAGAATACGTGAAGTTGAACCTCCTTTATTGGATGTGAGCTCATAAATCTTGGTATCTGTAGTTCCAGTAGTTGAGGCAAAGTTCCGGTGAGCTCATACCATTTTTCCTTGGTTTTCTGATCGACTTCAGAATCCCAATCAAAACCTTGGACCCATAGCTGTCGCATGAGACATTTGAAATTGATGATGAATGGAGCTAGCCATCCCATCGGATCAAACAATTTTGAAATTATGGACAGAAGACTCCTCTTTTTAAGCAGTTTCAGCTCTGGTAAGGCAGTTGAAAAACAAAAGATGTCCTTATTGGGCTTCCAACTGACTCCTAGCGCCTTGATTTTGTATTCGTCAGAGAAAAGTTCCAGCACATCCGATTTTTCGCGGAGATGTTCTGGCAATCCTTCAATTATTTTAGCATTGCTTGAAGTCCATTTTCGTAGAGGGAATTCATGAGAGTTCAGCTCTTCGCATAAATCAGAGATGAGTCTTTCTGCTTCATGCTTATCATTAGCGCCACCAAGAAAGTCGTCTACATAGAAACAATTTTTGAGACTTTCTTTGATCATTGGGTTCTTAGATTGATCTGCTACTTCATTGAGGCATCTTGTTGAGTGAAAAGCTGACGAAGCTATTCCATATGTAACGCGTGTCATCCTGAGATGCTTGATTTCATCCGATTTATTTGATCTACAAAGTATGCGATGGAAATCCTTCGATTTGTCCTCTAGAGCAACTTGTCGGTACATTTTTGCGATATCTGCTGATAAAGCAATTGGGTAGAACCTGAAGCGCATGACTATCGAGTAGAGGTCGTCTTGTACCGTGGGACAAACCATCAAAGTGTCGTGAGTGATTGTCCGGTTGATGTTGTTGCAGATCCGTCGAAAACTACACGTAGCTTTGTTGTAGTAGAATCTTCCTTGAACACGCAGTGATGTGGCAGATAATATACGCTATCAACTGGCTTTTCGATTTCTCCAGGCGGTATGTACTCCATATGCCCCATATCGAGAAATTCGTCTATGAATGCGGTATAGCGATCTTTTAGTTCTGGATTCTGTTCCAGTCGTCGCTCGAGATAATTGAATCTGCGTTTTGCTTGTGCTAAACTGTCGCCAAGTTGACTATTGGGCTTCAAAGGCAGCTGCACGGTGAATCGTCCATTTTGTAGTATGGTTGTTTCCTTAAAGTGAGATTCACATCGATCTTCTTCTGTTGTTGTCTTTTTGAAATCAGGAATTTCTTCTAATTCCCAAAATTTCCTTAGACTATCGTCAATAGACACATGAAATGACTTGAAGAAGGTTGTTGGAGGACCGGGTGTTCTGCCGCTAATCATCCAACCAACTAGAGTGTCACGTGCAAAAAGCTTGTCTGAAAGCTTAATCTTTTCGCAGCCAACAATGTCGTTGTAGACATCACAGCCTAGGATTATATCGATTTCCTTTGGTTTATCAAAGTCTGGGTCCGAGAGCTTAAGACGTGTGATATCCAAACTGTTCGGTATATTCACCCGTTCTCTAGGCAGGTAGCCAGAAAGTTTTTGAAGAGTGAAGGCTTCAATATATAGAGATTGATTCTGAGAATCCTTTGTTTCCAGATTGACAGAACCAGATTTCACAGTTTTTGCTCCTCCGCCAACTCGAGTTAGTTGAAGAGTCAATTTCTTGATTGGTAGCTTGAGTCGGTTAGCACTGCTGGTTGTAACGAAACTGCATTCAGATCCGCTGTCCAGTAAGGCTCGACAATTGTGATAACCGCCATTTGCAGTTTTCACCTCAATTAGTACAGTTCCCAGTATGGTAGTGGCACCGGTAGTACCCCCGTGACCCGCAAACTTATTTTCAGGTCCCGGTTGCTTGTTTGGGTCTGTATGGATGTGAAGTAACGAGTGATGACCCTTTCGACAGGTTTGGCACGTTGACTTCGACTTGCACTCATGATTTTGGTGTCCAAGGGACAGGCAATTGAAGCATAATCGCTTTGATTTGGCTTCTTGTCTTCTATTGGAAATAGACATTTCCTGAAATTTTGTGCATTGATACACGCGGTGATCACCACTGCAGCATGGGCAGATGATCGTCTTAACAGAGTTTGTGTGGTATGTCTGTACCTTGTCATCTTTCTTAGAGTTTCCAGATTGGTCTGAATTTCCTTGATGATTTTTTCTATGAATTGAAGGTAACTGGAGGTCCTTCGTAGCTTCTAGGGCGCGAGATCGTTCCTCCAAGAACTTCTTCGTCTGTTTGATTTTTGGCACGTCACTTCCCGCGCAGGAAAGTTCCCATTGTCTTCTAGTTTCAGGATCTAATTTCTTGGCCAAAACGTGAACCCAGATCAAATCGCATTGATCAATTTTTAGTCCAAGTCCTGTCAGTGCCATCGTGTTTTCCGTGTAAGTATTAATCAAGCGACGTATTGCAGCGGATGACTCATGCTTCATTGGAGTGAATTCAAAAATTGCTTCCAAGTGAGCGTGTGAGATCATCTTGACATCAGCATATCGATCCTTTAGAAGTTCCCTTGCGACTGAGTAGTTCGCGTTTGTAGCAGGCAAGTGGGATAGCAAACGAAACGGTTCATCCTTGAGGGCACCCTTTAGGTATTGCAGTTTCTGAACATCAGACAGCGATGCATTTGAGTGAACTGCTCCATCAAAGGAATCTAAGAAAGGTAGCCATTGATCATACCTTCCGCTAAATGTTGGCGAATTCAGTTTCGGCAACTTCAGGCAAGTATCTTGGTTTCGGCCAGCACCACGTTGGGAAGTGGATTTGTAGGATCCTGTTCCGCTTGCGCTGTCGTCATCTTTGACCGATTCAGTTGAATATTTTCCTCGGTCATCTAACATAGTTGTGATCATTTCCATCAAACAATCTACTTGAAGGTAGATTTTCTCAGCTTCTTCCAATTCAACTTCAAGTGCATCTTCATCATCGTTTAGAACATTTGAAATTTGCTGATTAAGCTCTTTCAGTTCCTTTTTCTTTCGTTCGCACATCGTGAGATTGGCCTTGAGAGTTCCAATTTCCTTGTAGGTTAGAGCAGATGCCTCTTTGTTGAAGATTGCTGAGACGGCTTTTTCCGATCGGGTAATGACACCGATGTTAGCACTTCTTGATCGCTTCAAAGCAGGTAGAGTGAGCGTCACGTTGCTCATGTCACTAGCAGGTGATGACATTTTTAAATTTCCTTTTTGTTTCTAATCGTTGGTTCGTTCGTGAGTCGCGTTGCACCAAAAATGTTGTGCAGCAAAAGTTGGGAAACGAAAAATCACCAATCCGACTGAATAAAACTAGTGATTCGCAAAGAGTGTAAATTATTTCATGAGTTATAGATAGAAGTCAATTGATTTTTGTTAAATGCGGTTTTAAATAAGTAAATCAGTTCAATCGTAGATTTAGTTCAAGTAGAAAGCTGAGATGTCTTTTTTAGGCTTCAACAGCCACAGCACAGATTTTGCTTGCGCTGTAAGCAACTTTGCAAGTGCACGTGTGTTTATTCTAGTTTCAGGAGGGACTTCAACTGGTGTCTGCTCAAAGATTGTCGGCTTTGTTGCTACATCACTGATTTTTCGTAGGCTGTAAGCAGTTTTCATTGTAGTTGCAAGTGCAAGTGTCGTCATTGTAGTTTCAGATGGGACTCATAACTTAACATTTTTATAGAATCATATTTTTTTCGAATCAAATTATATCTGCACAAACATCGTCGGCTTTGCTTACTCTTTTTGTTCGGGTGCTAATTTATTATTCAAATGTCTGGGATTTTCTCCTCGAATAAGTTTCTATCCAAAAATTTGAAATTTTGGTAGACCTAGTTTTTTTATAACATTTTTAATCGACTTATTATGTTTTTTCTTGCACCATTTGAGCTTTTGTAATCGAGGAATGTAAATTGCTTCCCTTTTAGCAAACCTTCCTTCACTTCGTTCGTTCATTGACACTTAATAAAAATAACCCTAAAAGGGTTAACAAAAATGCAAAAAAAAATTAATAATACAAATACTGATCTGTTCGGGAATTGAACCTTAACCTCGTAATCAAGAGTCTCAGTCCCAGCATCTGAGCCATGGGCTCTTCATATTAATCTAGCCACCAATAAACCAGAAACAAAGATATAAGGCCAATGCAGCAAAAGTAAACAAGATATCTTGCTGTAGTGAAAAAGTAGACTTAGGTTGGAAAAAGTGGACTTCGTAATATGACACTAGGCTCTCCTTGTGTGCGCAGAACTTATGATAAACGCTTTTAAACGCTTGATCACGCTTAAGATACCAATTGGTTGGATAACTCTGCCCGTGCCATAAGATTTCACAGGTTTTCTGGTAAATAACAAAACGATAAAGAACTTTTAGCGCGTCTATTTTGAGAAAGCGATCTCTGACCTTCTTTGCTGACTGACTTCCATGCATGGTCGGCAAAGGAGAAGCGAGCCTTCTTGATCTGCTCAACCAGGGGCATGTCATTGTAATCATCTGAGAAGGGAGGGTAGGCGGCCAACCTAATTACAGCTAACTTAATCACATTTGTCTCATCTTCAGTTTAGTTTAATGCTGGTTAAATGTTCAGTTTAATTTAATGGAGGTTCGAGCAAAAAAATTTTTTTTTGGGGTCACGCGATTTTACAGAAATCCACAATATTAATGATGTATATATTCTTGACAAGTGCAAAAAGGTACATAATAATGAAAAACAGAAAAGCATGGCCATTGAGTTTCTAAAAAAAATTTGAGCGACCATGTAATTTTAAAGACAGCTGCAATGTAATTAAAAATTTGAGCGACCATGTAATTTTAAAGACAGCTGAGATGTAATGAAAGACAGCTGAAAGATCAGCAGAAAGTTATTAGCAGCCAATACACAATGCTTAAACAAAAAACAAACCGTTAAAAAAAAGAAGAAAGTAGCCGATTATTGTGCAAGTGGCAAAGAATGTTCCTAGAAAGGATTTTTTTTTCGCAGAATTTACAATGAGTTTCAAAAGAATAAATTGGTCAGTTATGATGTGAAAATATTGTTATCCGGAATTCATTCAGCAAACGAAAACTCAATTTCCACTCTTCGATTATATTAAGTCTGAATGGCAAAATTTCAGAAACGTTTGTCGACGCAGATAACTTTTTTGAAAAAAAAACAATTGAATTAGAGCTGAAAGGGCTTTAAAATCATACCACCCACGTTAACCAAAAATCGCTCTTCGAGGTTCCTGATTTTGCGTGAAAAACATAAGACAATAGTTCCTTCCCATATCTAGGATAGTCAGAACAACAACCAGCGCTAATTCATAGTTTTATGGCAAATGAACAAAACATGGAAGGAACTCCAGACACAGTTTCCTCAAATTGGGATAATTTTAGTTCAAAATAACAATTGCTTAGAAAATACTCGCATTAATATAGTGCTATATGTTATTCGGACCTCAAAAAGAAAATGGTAACTTAATGGTGTTTTTTCTCTCCAAAAAGTGCAAAAAGGACATTTTACTTGGTACAACTAATTCTAAATCAAGACAAGACTTCTCGTATCAGGTCGAAGCCCTGAATGTTCCGACTGCCTTTTAAGGTTTATGGAGCATCAGTAATAACATAAAAAACTAAATGAAATAAAATAAAATGAAATTTTTTTTTTCTAAAATTTGAAACTTTTTATGAAAATCATCTCCCCACACGCCATTTAAAGTACAAAAAGATAGATTTCGTTCCTTGTAACAAATCAATTATGGCGAATAAGCTTCGTTCAACCAATTTGGAACGATTTATAAGACGGATTAAATCTCCGCTTACGCGTTAATAGCGCGAATTATATCGCGCGTTAATTGTCCCAAATTGGTCAAAATGGCAATCTTTAAACCCTCATAACTTTACGAAAAATAATCACAGGTGAAATATCTTTTCAAATTTAGGCTCAGGACAACAATGGCTTTCGAATGATTTTTAAAAAAATCCGTCAAAAATGGCTAGTTAAAAAGTCGAAATTTGTCTGAAGAAAAAAAAACCCACCACGAGCACAAATATTCCGTTACTTTCGTATCGAAAGTCGGAACAAAAAATATCGAAACATCATTTTGTTGCTTCGCACCAGTTGAAAAAAATTCGTCACAAAATATAGCTCGCCACGTGATATGACAAAAAATGAGACTGAGATAAAAAACACCAAATCGAAAAGATTAAATTGTCATAACTTTTTTTAATCGAAAATAGAAATAAGATTTCCAACTAAAACACTTGTTTGATTCTAATTTAATTCATTGGCTAGCATTCTGTAAAACTTGTATCGACCTGACAGTTTTTGATAAACTATCCCGATTTGAGAAAAAAAAATTTCAATAAATAAATATTTAAGCCGCTGGGACTCAAAAAGTTTTGCAAACATAAGTAAATCGTTTTTGTTTTTCGCGCCATTAGCATTTTGTTATTCAAGAGAGTAAATTTCCTTCTATTCAGTAACGGACCCATTCTAATAACGGGTGTCAAGATAAAGTGAGTTAATAACTATAAAAAAACTTATGTTTAAGAAAAATCAGGTCATTATCCTACTCTTCGGCGCTTGCTTTCCACATTTTAAGTGCTGCTGAACAAAATCAAAAATCAAATTAATAGGATGAAATTTCTTTACTTTTTTATCACGGAAAGTTTATTCATGACAGTTTTCTCTATTGATTTTTTTAAGTTGACGTTCGAAGTCATTTACTAGATATAAGGCTAATTAATTTCTGCAATTAGGTTATTTATCATCAAAAAATCTTGAACTCAAATAGCTTTATAGCTTTACAGCTGAAACTGTCTTATTTGGTCTCTTTGACTTCATTCTATTTTCGGACTGTCTGTTGGCTATGTTTTGAATTTGTTCGAAAAGCAATAGTTTAGGGTTGGTCGGCCGAAAATGGATAGCGTGAAATATCATTAGGGGGTGGGCGTTTTGGGTGTGGTGATCGAATCACTGAGAGCCCCCTCCCCGCACTACGATACAAAACACTGCTGTAGAAGAACGCCTATTGTCGAATAGCTCAGGCGATGAAAATCAAATTTGTTTGAAACATTTTCCGTAAGAGAAGACCGGTATAGCTCAGATCTATCTTATTTCCCGGTTTGACGGCGCAACCAACGTTTAAGCCATTCCGAATGAATCACTTGACCATTCCTAACGACAAAATTTGAGAGATAAAAAAAACGAAATAATTACACAGAGGCGAAGCAGAGCTCCGCGCACCACTTGCGATGCGATACAAACATTAAGAAACCCAAGTCGAAAAAAATGTAAATGTTGGAAAAAAACTAATGGAACCAAAATTTTCGTAGGTCTCGATAAAAAACAATTAGGGGAGCAGTTAAAGCTTAAAGTACGTGTTTGATTTTTTATGACTTATTTATACTGATGCGGGACAAAATTTGTGATTTGAAAAATTAGATCTTGACCAAAACCTTTGTTGTTTCACTTCTCTAATAAATGAGAAGAGTGAAAATTCTTGAAATAATTGAATTTTCCCCAGGACATGATATTTCGCTTACAAAAAAAGGTATCGCCGCTTCTGCAAGAAAAATTCTCGCAACCGGTTTTTTTAATTGAACTTTTCATTGAACGATTTGACAGGGTAGTTTTTGAAAAAAAAAATCAAAAAGTTTCTGAAAAACGATTAAAAATTCCTAAAAATGGTCAAAACGACTTTCCGAAAACCATAACTTTCTTCTGCTAAAAACCGGGTTTCTTAAGCCAAAACCGGGTTTCTCGATTGAAAACTTAACCTAAGAATTGGCACGGTAGTTTTCAAGTAGAGTCAAAAAGTTTCCAAATTGTTCTTTAAAAAAATGAGCGTATCCAATTATAAAGGTAGGCTTTCAACAATCCATTGTTTCGATGAAGCTATGATTTCAGATTGAGAATGATAGTTAGCGAGAAAAGTACAAAAAAAACGGGAAAAATAGCGTTTCCGAGAATCATAGTTTTTGTGAAAAAATTAGGGCGAGGAGCTTTCGCAACCTGTATTTTCGATTGAACCCAAAATCTCACATTTGGCAGGGTAGTTCTCGAGAAAAGTCAAAAATTTTATACAAAAAGTCAAATAACTAAAAACTTTAACTTTTCCGAGCGCCATAACTTTTGGAGTCAAAATATTAACGGCTCAGTCTCAAAAGCAAAAGAGCTTCCCACAACCCGACCTTCGAACGGAAACCAAAATTCCAGATATTGCATGATAGTTTTCGAACAAAAACCCAATACAGAGTCGACGCTGAGCTTCGCACTACTTGCGATGCATAACAACAAAGCCGCAAAGTCGAAAAAAAACTAGATCTATGGAAATGAAAAAATTAGTTTTAAAATAAGAACGTGCAAAAACCATATAATGTAAAATATGCATCGAAAGATAACTTATCAAGCGGTAACAAAGCCGAAAATACCTTAACAGAAACCCTTCGAGCCAAAAAAAATTTGAAAAAATGTATTCGGTGCCCCTCAAAACATCCTCAAAAACACACAAATTTTATTAGCGTATCAAATAGAACAATATGAGGTCACAGAGCCGAGATGATATCGCTCGAAACCTATTAAGCCCAAAAAAAATAAAAATTCCAAATAAAAAAGCCAAAAGTTTCCAAAAACAATAAAACTAACAAAAAGTTATAGAAACCCCTCATCCTCAAAACATACACACAGCTCGACAATAAACGCAACATGAGGTCACTAGGCTGATATTACAATTAATGCGAATCCTTTTAAGCAATTAATACAATTAATGCGATATTTTCGAATAGGAGAGATAATTTCAAATAGGACGAAAAATATATCTTTAGTGGTTAATTTGTTGCTAACAGGCTTTCAGGAAATGATTCCAGATGAAAAAAGTCTCGTGAACGAAGTTATTTACGGAAAATAGTACCCGATTGCAAAACCCTTGCTTACCGCAAGAGTAAACAGTTTAGGAAACAGAAATAAAAAAACGACTTTTCCGAGAACGATAACTTTTGTGTACAACAAATTTGTGAGTGGCCTCTGATGCAGGGGAGCTTCCCACTACCAAAAGTTGTACTATTTTGAGGGCCATAAATTTGTGTACAAAAAATTTGAGCGTAGCGCCTTATGCAGGAAGATTTTTGAATCCATTCCATTCATTGAAACCAAAACCTCAGATTTAAAATGAGGCATTTTCGACCAACAAAAAAAATCAACAATATTCCCCTCACAGATATTTTTGAAGGCTGTAGAGAGAGAGAGAGAGAGAGAGAGAGAAAGAGAGAGAGAGAGAGAGAGAGAGAGAGAAAGAGAGAGAGAGAGAGAGAGAGAGAGAGAGAGAAAGAGAGAGAGAGAGAGAGGAGTAAAGTAAAAAAGACTAAGGGAGGATGCAGACAAGTGAACAAAATCGCTAAGAAATTTGAGTACATTGTGAAACAAGGTGCCAAGAACGCTAAAAAATTTGAGTACAAGGTGCCACTAGAGATGAGTCCAGAAGTCCAGATGAGCGTCCTGTGAAAAAAGTTATTTACGGGAATAAAAGTCTCATTCCCGATTGCAATAACCTTGCTTATCGCAAGGGTAAAGAGCTGTTCACCGACAAAGGAACCATAACAATCTCACTCACATGATGAAGAGGATGACACCAAGACTCCACGAGTCGACCTTGCTATTGTAGTGTCCCATGCCCGATGTCTTGATTATCTCGGGGGCAAGGTAGTTGGGGGTGCCACAAAGTGTTTTCATCAGCGACTGCTCCCCCACCAGTTTCGACAAACCGAAGTCTGTCACTTTAATCAGGGTCATGTCCGCCTCACTTGCCAGCAGAATATTTTCCGGCTTCAAATCTCTATGCACGACGTTCTTTGAGTGCAGGTACTGAAATACTTGTTACTGCATACCTTGCAGTTTAAATCCAAATACAGTTAGCATAAAAGTAGGACAGCCTGACACTGGAACATTTAGCTATAAATTGGACAATGAAAAAGACAGTTTATGATCGCGACAGAGACATTTATCATTGAACATTCAAAACTAAATCGCTCAATTTTGAATCTCTGACGCATTCAAACGACCACGCTCATCTAATTTTTCGCCGCAACAAGAAAATGGTTTATCAAAGTTCTAGGTTCCAATTGGTTTTCTGTTTCTAATACTAATTTTTTCATTCATATTCGCAGCAGCCGAATATATGTTAGCCAACTGGTTGGTTTTCTCATAGCAATAAAAACGATAACTGATAGTAGCTTGCTACACCTCTATTGCCAGTAGCATTTGATAGAAGTAGAGCTTCGCAGTGAACTCATCCAATCCATCCTTCTTCACAACTCTGTCAAATAACTCACCACCAATCGCTCTGAAACAGAAACAGACAAATATACGGCAATATTTCAACATCCAATTCGGATTGTATTCGGAAAAACATACCTCTCAAGAACGAGATATAGTCGATCCGGGTAGTCAAATACTTCATGCACATGTATGATACAAGGCTGAAACAGAAACATCGTCCTTATATTACGAGTTGTTTTACAAATGAGCAGTTAGCTTCTTTTAACGATGTCTTTCTGACAGCATGTGATTGAAATCGCACTCAGAAAGTAAACATGCGCATCGGAAGAAGCGCAGATGTATCTAGAGACGCCAATTATTATGCAAGTGTTTTGGTAAGCGGATTGGTAACTCCTTCGAGAAATTGTAAGTAATAAGGCAGTGGTCTAAAAGCAATCATTTTAAATCGTTTTTGTCGACACTGAGTAAATCAACGAAAAAGACGAAGAAAAATATACATTTCAATCATTTACCAAATCAGAACAATAAGACAAACAAGCTTAACAAAGTGAAAACTTCTTCATGTATTGTATTATAATCATCTATAAAATTTAATTTACGAAAAATAAGCGTTGATAAGCAAATGCTAATAGGAAGCCTACTAACACTTTACCCTAGAGACATGTTAACTTAAAGAACAAGAAAGCATCTGCTTTAAAATCAAAATCGGAGAAATGTTAGAAAAAGAAAGCAGAGTTTTGTAGTTTTTTCAGGAGATGGTGCTTTTTGCACAAAAAACTAACTTTACCAGGAATTCGGTAGCATAACACACCCATTCCGACAAAATTTTATGATGATATGTCCGACCCATCTTTTTAAGGAGGTCCAGCAACAACTTTGGGTTCTTCAGGAATTCGTCAGCTTTCGGGTTTAATTTCGCAGTCTAGCTTTATTGCCTCTTGGGCATTTCTCAAGTATCTACATTTCAGTGTCTTCCTCTCCGCAATCAGGTGAGACTACCTTCCACATTCTGTGCAGCGTAGCGAAAAAGAGTAATGGCGAGGCCCCCGATTGGAATTGGCTCACTATCTCAGTATCTTTCCTTGACAATTTGTGCTGTCTTTTCCTGTTCAGTTCATAATATTCTTTGTAAAAATCGATGTCTTTCGTCTTCCTTGCTCTTTTCACTGTCGATTTGGCTAATTTTAACGTAACTGGAATTTCGGACTGATTCAAATCGCTAGCTTCTTCTGCCGCTTTGTCCGCACGTTCATTTCCTTCTATTCCACAATGGGCTGGGACCCACCTAACAGTCACTGTCTTCAACGCCGTCTCCAAATCTGGAAAACCAACTCCAAGTCTCGCAAAACCACTTTTGAGGGCATAAACAGATGGAAGTGAGTCAGTGCAAATAAATTTAGATTTTCCATGGTCAACATTTAACTTAGTGCAGTACTCCAGCGCAACATTAATGGCATTCATTTCTGATTGGAAGCGGGAGCATAGTCTTCTAGCTGGTTCTCTAATAACAGCACTTTACAGCAAGGTTATTACTACTGCCCCACTACCTCCTTCCTCCGTGCCGTTCTTCACAGACCCATCAGTCCAGATGCGAACACCACTAAATTAACCTGCCAAGCGGCTAGCTAAGCAACCTGCTTTTTTAACAATTTGATTTGTTGTTTTTGTGTTGTGTTGTGTTACACTTTGATTCGGAAAAGGCAACGCGAATTATTTATGCGTGGCGAAATATCCCGCACTACAAAATCGTTCCTAATTGAATTGAGACAATTAATTAGTAGGTGCTAGGTAAATAAGACGACGAGGCATTAAGACGACATGACATTAACACGAAAAAAAACAATAATATGAACTAATCGAATATTAGCGAATTATATTTCTCAGAAATACATTTGGCGAATTTGTGTGTAGCGTGATCATAAGTCCCACCGAAAGCGGTTGTCGTCTTATTTAGTCGGACACCAATCTAATTGGTCTTATTAACTCTAAAAACGACTCGAATTTTAACACTTAATTTATATTCATTTACCAAAAACTATTCGAGATCAGTTAAAGGACAGCCAAAACATTCAGTGCGTTGCCCTGATAATAGCAGTCTTGTTATTATCTAAATGATCATAGCCAGAAAAATCTCATTTTATCATACTTTCTAAAACTATTCGTACACAGAGGCGAGCCTGAGCTTCGCGCCACTTGCGATACAAAATAAAAAAGCCGAAAATCAAAAAATAATGTCTCAAACGAATGAGTTCTGTTAAAAATTTTAGGCTAAAAAAACTTTTCCAAACATAAATATTGATTACCCAAAACAATAGAACGATTCGGGCTAACCAAACTCAAAAAATCGAGATTCATAAACTCCTAAAGGTATACAAAACATTCGCTTGAAATCTTGCTACTATTACGCTAGCAATACTATAGACGTCGGACAAAACGCTTGCTAGGAATAAAGGGTCCTTTCTACTTTCTATCTTAGAAAGTAAATCTAAAATTCGCTGAGAAATATTTTATTAAAAAAGAAGTTAGTATGAATTTATAGCAAGTTGCCTTTTGACTCAATATTTATTTTTTACGGTGAGATTGGAGATATTTTCTCTGAGATTGAATATTATTTTAGAGAAGGGTTGGGGTGGTTGAGGAGAGTGGTGGTGGTGGTAGAAGAGAAGTTGTTGGAATAAATTCCCGTAGTTTTGAGCTTCTATTTATACTCAGATTGGGAAATCACGCCACTTTTCGTATCAAATGAGAAGTTTCCTTTAACTTCGTATTCTTTATTCGTACATTCGTATTTTACGAGAAGAAGGTTTCGTATGCTCGTATTTTACGAGAGGAATCGTTAATATTCGTATTGAATGAGAATAGTCGTTTCAATTCTCAATGCTTAAAACGTTATACGAATTATTCCATAGCATTTCCCTTCCTTTTGCAAGGGAATAAAAGCATATTTCTTTTGGTGGTGGCGGCGGCGTCACATTTTGTGAACGCAATAAAATAATTCATGTTTCTGTTTCTATTTGAAATCAGAACATATCCATCCTCCTATTTGGAGAGGGAAAAAAACTGAAACTTTCATTTTTATTACTTTTACTTGAATAGTGGGGTAATTGTTGATCAATCGAAGCTTTTTCTTTCAATCTCATAAAGTTGGTTCAATAGTTTGTTGGTATTACAGGTAGCAGATGTTTTTGAACAACTGATACTTTGAGTCAGGCTTGAATGAATATAAACACATCAGTTACATTTATAAATCAAAATAGAGTTTACACAACCAAGGGATTTAACTATAAAATTAAATACATCAAAATTATCTGTTTCTCAAAAGTTTGAAGGTTAGTTTTTTTCCTTGTACATTCTTTTTCCGAAGTCTCCTTTTCTTCCTGAAGTATGTGAAGTCTGTCCAAACGCGTAATAAGGGGAGGACTGGTTCATACAAAGGGGGTATTTTTTGTGTTTTTTGTTTTTTATAAAAGTCAAAATTGTTAAAAGGAAATTAATAGCTATACTACATAGCTATATAAAGCGAAAGAATAAATGCTTAAATAAAAGGATAAATTTCTTACAATTTTCCTTCCAACCGGGCTATAAGTTGTTGATTTTTTGTTTTCAAATTGTGGATTTGCTTTTTCAGCTCCCGGATTTGGTGCGTTTCATGGATACGACTGCGCTGAATTTGCTCAGTATAGTCATCTAACTGGGGGGTTTGTAATTTTGCTGTCAGATACTTTGCTGGGACATAGATTTTTTGATATTCAAGAAGGGAATTAGTTATGGAATACATTTTTTTTATAGGATGATAAGCTTCTAATTTAAAACGATTGATTAATGGATTCAAAGCATAATTGAGATCCATATCGAAGCCAGGATTGCTTTTAGAATTAATGTATCGTTCCCTTTCTAACTGAATATGTAATCTAGTGTTTATTTCAGTGGGGTGCAAGGGCTGTCGCCTAATGGTCATTGGACAATGAGAAGTTGATACCGGCGTATTTGCCGTTAGTATCTTATATGGTTTTACAATCTGGGTCCGTTTTTTAATTTTAGAATTCGAGGGAACCAGGGGTATTTGAAAATCAGGGGGTGAAATTTTTAGGGGTGGTGGCTGTGATGCTGTAGTTATTGGGACAGCTGAACTAGTTTGAAGTAGTGGCTCAACGAAGGATCGTGTTGAGGTCGGTTTTGCAGTGGGTGTTGTAGTAGAAGAAACAGTTGGTTGTTGAGTGAGTGCTGAAATCTGCGAGTCCAGTGGATCGGTTGGTGGCAGGAGTGAGAGAAGATCTTCAAAATCTCTCAAGTCGTCATCAAGTGTTGTGTTCATAGTTGAATCAGTTGGTATATCCTAGAACAGTAGAATTTTTTTTTTAGACTGGGTTTGTTGGGTGATCCAAGTTTTGAGTTCTTCTCTCAAAACTTGTTAATTGGATGTGAGGATACATGCGATCCTGGTTTATTTTATCAATTTCCTCTAAAAGAGGGGCTTGTATTTTCTGATCACATTCTTGTTCTATTTTTTCAGTTTGCTCATCTTGAGTGAAAATTGAGGTCACTATGGAAGTGAAAAGTATATTATATGAAGCGGCAAGTAATACTTTGCCAAAATGTAGTGAGCGGCCGGTGATTTTGTGAATATGCATAGCCTTTATTATGAATACTAGGCAATCTAGTATGAATTTCACAAATAGAAAAGAGGCGAAGACTATTCCGCATTTTTCTAAATAGTATTGTACTTTCCCGAATATACGGGTGTATTCGTTTTTCCAAAAGTTTGGAGAGATAAGATAGTCCAAATAAATTGTTTGGGAAGAGCCTAGCGGGCTGTATGAGTCTTTGAAGAAAATTTTTTTAGCATTTAGAAAGGACCTGGATACTTTTTGCAGTATTCCTTTCATCTCTGAATTATCGGAAATCATATTCCAGAATTTTTGCATTTGAGCATAAGTGTAGATTGAAGCGCCTTGGCTAGAGGCTAGAGAATGCTTAATCTTTTGAATTATCTCTTTTGGTTTAAAGAGATGTGGTCCTGTAACCCTTGTATTTTGAGGGGTTAATTCAATCCAGGACTTATCATCATCAACATCTAGTTGAAAGAGATTCGAATGTTTGTCGGAGCAGTCTTGTAGATCTGCCGACTGAAAAGTTTGTCGCGTAATTGGATCGACAAATTGAATATTTTCCTTATACATAATGGGAATGCGATTATAGC